TACATCAGATACTTTTAATTACACAGGACTGCATCAAAGAATGCCTGGTTCTCAGAGCAGGACATGCCTCCTGAAGAAATGATCTATAAAACTGTAATGTTGCCCAAGCACAAGGAGAAAACCTCACACCCCCTCACAGCTGCATGTGAAGGCAGCCCAAGGTTACCCTGTTGGAGGTGGCTGAGAGAACATAATTAAAGCTAATTTATTGTCATCCTCTCTACATCAGTTGATCAAGCTTTGTGCCATTTTGTGGGAGTGTGTTCTGCTCTTAGATGATCAGCAGAATGCTATTTCACTCATTTACAGACAGTGATCACAGATTGTGATGCGTTAGAGTGTTACAGGTAACACTCTGTGTCTCTCCTGGCACTGCAGCAATAAATTACTGGATGCAAGTCCAAATGTGGCAATTCCTTGGGCTGTTAGACCTGTATATTCTCCAGGCTTAATATTAACACTGAGCAAACACAGATAGTAAGGCCAAGTGCAAATAAAAGTAGCTCTATAGAAAAACTCAGGAGATCTTTCAAATGCTCTCAACCATGCCCAGGATGTCATGATCAGCTGCAGCTGATAAAATTGCTCCAGGATGTTGATTACTTCTTCTGCTTTTGTGTTTACTCCTGTGATCTGAACTGTGCTATGTGCCATCTCATGGGCAAAGTAAGTCTGTCTCACATGCAGCCGTAATTGAATGGTCACAGAGGCTGAGCTACCCGCTTCTCTCCATAAACTCACTGAGATTGTTTCAAACATCTACTTTTCCCAGGTGCTGACCTGCTCCATGAGAAGGAATTGCCATTGGAAACAACCTCTTATTCAGCAGAAGACACACATTTGATTAGAGATAGAACTTTCCACAAGAAGACCAGGATGATGCCTGGTGAAGAGGAATATTCGCAGGGTAAAATTTATATTTCTGTCTCATTAATTCCTCTTCGCAAGGATATCTCATTTCCCTCTTTTCCTGCAAAAATCCTTCCATTTTGCACCTGCCCCAATTAGTGTGTGCCCACCTGCTCTGCTAAAAGCCAGCTGCCCAGGTGGACAATTAATGCTGCAAGATGGATAGTGGCTTGGCATCATTCAACTCCTGCCAGTGATCTTCGGATGCAGTCATAGCTCTGACAATTGCAGGGAAACACAGGTGTTTTTTCCCGAGGGACCCTCCACACATACCCACTGTGCCACTTGCTTACACATATTTGCCCCTCGCTCTGTATTTGGGAGATATGCTGGCACCCACTTGTTTTTGCTGGGAAGACAACTACGCAAAATTTGGAATGCTGGAGCACATCCCAGGAAGGACAGGACCGAGATGGGATGTCAGGTCTGCTGAGGTCTCTCCTGAGCCACTGTGGAGATTTCTGATTTTGAGACCAGGAGGGTCCTACATGTCTGTATCCTTGTCTTCTCACTAGAAGGGCAAGAGAAAGGGGCTTATGTCTGGATCTCCTCCCAGTTCTGTATTTCTATTTGCTTCTTGTTCAAAAACTGTTCCTATCATGAGTGCTTGGGTAAAACCAGGTGGCTGCTCAAGAGGCTTTCTACCCCAAAACTTTCACAGCTGCTTCACGTGAATGACACCGAGGAGTTTTACGGCTGCCAGGCATCCCTAACAGCTGAACGTATGGAGCTGGCTGGGAATCAAAACAAATGCTCAGATTTTACAGGAGGCTGAAAATAGGACATATCACTCTTAAAGAAATTAAGGTGGATGTGGACATCTACAGAAAAACAAAATATATCTACCAAAATTACATCTAGAAACGTATCTGACTATTATCTCTCATTTCTGCTACACCTCGCAACCGAAAGCCTTTTACTTTTCTGACTGGGATGTGTCATGGCTGGCAGGAGGGTTCTGACTTCATGTGATTTCAGCTGTTTCCCCAGCAACTGATTCTGAAATTAATTCAATAAATATGACAGTTTTGATGTTGATGCTGGCATAATTTTGCCAATTAGCTCTAGGATGAATGAGTTAATTGGTGTTTGGGCTGGATGAGGTCCTACTTTTGTTTCTGGTTAGATGCTTAGTAAAAAAAAAAAAAGAGTGAAGAAATCTATTAATCAGAATTGTATAAAACAACTTGGATCATATCTGTGAAAGACAAAAGCCACTAAGTGATGCCTCTTTTATTGATTCAGTTGAAGTAATTTGGGAAACTTTATGTGTTCTCTAATGTGTTTTGATGGTTAAAAAGATATGGATGATGCTAATCTTTTTCTCTTATTTTCTATGATACTCACAAATGCTATTGCTACATAGCTTTATTTTTCTGATTTTTACATAGGAAAACCCCAGCATTCAACTTGGATTTCATTATGAGATACTCTTATTTACTCATAAAAAAAGAAAGGTAGAGGCAAGGTGGAAGGATAACTATAAGGAATGGTCAAAAGGAAAACAATCTGAATGAAAAATTATTACATGAACAGATTCATCTGCATTGCAATGTTGGGATTTTATAGAAAGAAAAATCAAACCGTCCTTCCTAAAGTACCTACAGTTCTACATATTTGGTCTTAACCATAAGTCCCGATAGGTTTTACAGGTGAGGTCTATAATTGCACAATGGAACACTCATCTGGAAAACATGGGATGGCAGCTGCAAAGCACTAATTCTCTGCCCCCCATCGATGTCCCCATCTGCCTCACTGAGATAATAGGTTTGAGGGGGTGGCTTTTCAGAGCAGCTAGTCCCTTCAGGAAGCTTGATAGGAATAGCAGCAGCAATGTCATTTACCCGTACATAAAGGCAGCATCTTTGAAAGTTGGTGCTTAACTGGGCATTTCTGCTGACATGATCTTTGTACGACAGCTTATGCTGCCACGTTCAGAGTTCAAACGACGTTTGTAGTATCGTGGGTAAAGACCTACCCTAAAAATGCAGAATAAAACTGGCCAGCCCAAGGTAAAACACACAATTATCCTAGGGAACTTCAAGTTGGCTTTCAGGCTTTCTGAAGACCTGCTGACAGCCTTTTCTGCCCCTGCACAAGTGTTGCTGGGTGTGTAAGATCGTGGTCTCCAGCTCTTCAGAGTCCCATCCACTCCCACTGGCTGGGAGTTGCAAAGCCAGGACTCGTGTGGTACACTGAGACCTCGGCTGACAGAGCCCTGTATTGCTGCAAGCAGGACATCAGTCTGCAAAGTCTTACTGGTCTTACTGGTCAGCACTGTTTCTTGTCCATGAGGTCAATACAGACACCATTTAGCACCCCCACAATAAACATTTGTGCTGTAAGGAGAAGGTGGGAGGAAGGGATGGTGCGGTGATGACAAAAGGAAGGAAAGGAGTCACTCATTTGTAGCCATGTAATTATTATTTTTAAATAAATAGAGCTTTTGAAAATGTGATTAAGCAAACAAGGGAATAAAGTAAAAATCTGAATTGCTAATTAAAAAAAAAACCAACGTACTTGTAATTATATCATGTTGAGGGATAACCTAATTCAGTCCTAGCAGTTTTCTTTTAATAATTTTGATGCTCAGTGTAATAACCACAGATTAAAAAAAATGAAAAAAAAGGAAAAACCCCCACCCATTCCAATCAGCCCAGACTGCGGCGCCTTGGGGTGCATTTCAATCGCTCCCATGTGCAGGATGCCTGAGGCAATTCTCCCGCTTAATAGGCATTTTCCACAACACACTGTGAAATGATAACGCTAATTATCATGAAGATAGATTTGAAACCCTCTGTCTAGGGCACCTCGCGTTGAAATCAGGCAGCATTCATCAGCGGCATCACCCCTCGCCGCTCAGGGCTGCTAACGACTCGTTCAGCATCCCTCGTCCCCCCGCGGCTGCCGACGGCTCTCCGGCACCCACCTGGTGGTAAATCGCCTCCCAGTTCTCCCGCAGCGCTCCCCAGCTGCCCACGCTGGCCGCCTTCTTGTCGAGATAGACTCGGATGTGCTCCTCCAGCTCCTGGTTGACCTGCTCGAGCGCTCGCACCTTCTCGATGTACTCCACCAAGCAACCATTGAGGCTTTCGTAGGAGAGACCTCTGCCCTTGTCCAACCCTGGGGCCAGGGGCACAGCGGAGGCTGA